TAGTATTCCATTGTATATACATACCACATTGTCTTTATCCAATCATCAGTCAGTGGACACCTGGGTTACTTCCACTTCTTGGCTATTGTGAATAATGTTGCAATTAATTATTTTGAATTGTTTATTTCAAGTTCTTTGGATATATACCCAGTGGTGGGATAGCTGGGTCATATGATATTTCTATTTTTAATTTTTTGAGGAATCTCCATACTGTTTTCCATAGTGATTGCACCAGTTTGCATTCCCACTAGCAGTGTGTGAGGGTCCCCTTTTCTCCACAACCTCTCTAACATCTGTTATTTTTTGTCTTGGTGATTATAGCCATTCTAATGGGTATAAGGTGATATCTTAGTGTAGTTTTGATTTGCGTTTCCCTGATGATTAGTGATGTTGAACATCTTTTCATGTGCCTATTAGCCATCTGTATATCTTCTTTGGAGAATTGTCCGTTCATATCCTCTGCCCATTTTTTGATTGGGTTGTTTGGTTTTTTGTTGTTCAGTTGTGTGAGTTCTTTATATATTATGGAGATTAACCACTTGTCAGATATATGGTTTGCAAATATTTTCTCCCAATTGGTGGGTTATCTTTTCATGTTGATCCTGGTTTCCTTTGCCTTGCAGAAGCTCTTTAGTCTAATGAAGTCCCACTTGTTTATATTTTTGTTTCCCTTGTCCAAGTAGACATGGTAGTCAAAAAAATCCTTCTAAGACTGATGTCAAAGAGTGTACTGACTATATTTTCTACTAGGAGTTTTATGGTTTCAGGTCTTACCTTCAAGTCTTTGATCCATTTTGAGTTAATTTTTGTGTATGGTGAAAGATAATAGTCTACTTTCATTCTTGTGCATGTGGCTGTCCAGTTTTCCCAACACGGTTTTTTTAAGAGATTTTCCTTTCTCAATTGTATATTCTTAGCTCCTCTGTCAAAGATTAGCTGTCTGCAGGTGTGTGGTTTTATTTCTGGGCTTTCGTTCTGTTCCATTGATCTGTGTGCCTGTTTTATACCAGTACCGTGCTGTTTGGGTTACTATAGGTTTTGAAGTCAGGGATTGTGATGCCTCCAGCTTTGTTCTGTGTTCTCAGGATTGCTTTAGCTCTTTGGGGTCTTTTGTTGCCCCATATGAATTTTTAGGATTCAAATTTTTTTAAATATTTATTTATATTTCCTATTACGACCATATTTATATTTGTCATTTTCATTGTTCTTCATTCCTTTCTGTAGACCTAAACTTCTATCTTCCTTCCACCCAGAGGACTTCCTTTACGATTTCTTGTACAGGTCTCCTGGTGATTAACTCCTTCAGCTTTTGCATGTCTGGGAAGTATTTACTTTCCCTTCATTTTGAAAGATATTTTCACTGGGTATTGAATTCTAGGTTCACAGTTTTTCTTTTTCTCAGTACTTCAAAAATATTGCTCCTCCTCTGTCTTCTTGCTTCCATTGTTTCAGACAAGAAATCTGTATCTGTCTTATCTTTTTTCTTCTATTGTAATATGTCTTTTTTTCTCAGACTGCTTTTAAAATTTTCTCTTTACCATTATCATCAAGTAATTTGATCATGAAACACCTTGGTATAGTTTTCTTCACGTTTCTTGTGCTTGAGTTTCTTGAGCTTCTTAGATCTGTGGATTTATGGTGTACATTATTTGGAAAAGTATCAACTATTATTTCTTCCAATATTTTCTTCTATGCCTCTGCTCAACATACTCAATATTTCCTCTACCTCCTTGACCATATTGAATATAGTTATAGTGACTGTTTTAGTATTGTTCTCTACTAATTATGTTATCTGTATCATTTTGGAGTGTTTTCCAATTCATTGATTTTTCTTATTATTATAGGTTACATTTTCCTGCTTCTTTGCATGCTGATAATTTTGTATAGAATTCTTGACATTTTGAATTTGACTTTCTTGGGTGCTGAATATTTTTGTATTCCTATAAATATTCCTGAATTGTATTCTATGACATAGTTAAATTACTTAAAAACAGTTTTATCCTTTTGAGATTTCCTTTTAAGCTTTTTTTGCGGGGGGTGGGGGGAGCGGTGAGGAAGATTGGCCTTGAGCTAACATCTGTTGCTAATCTCCCTGTTTTTACTTAAGGAAGATTGTCGCTGAGCTAACATCTGTTGCCTGTCTTCCTCTATTTCGTATGTGGGACATGGCTACAGCATGGCTTGATGAGTGGTGTGTAGGTCTGCGCCTGGGATCCAAACCTGTGAACCTCGGGCCGCCAAAGTGGAGCACGTGAACTTAGTCACTATGCCACCGGGCCGGCCCCTCCTTTAAGCTTTGTTAGGTGGGATCAGAGCAGCATTTTGTCTAGGGCGAATGTTTCTTTACTACTAAGGTAGTAGCCTTCTGAGTACTCTACTCGATGTTCTGTGAGTTAGAAGATTTTTCCATTGTAACTAGTTTGTGGCTACACAAACTCTTGCTGGCCCTGTGTGCTCACCACTCTAATCATTTGGGGTTGTTTTTTCTTCAGCCTTGGGTAGTTTTCTCACGTGTGTGCACTGGTCATGATTCAGCTGAAGACTCGGGGAGCCCTGTACAGATCTTCAGAGTTCTCTCTCTGTGCACTTGTCTCCTCTCCAGCACTCTGCCTTACGACTTCCAGCCACCTTGGCCTCTCTGGCCTCCTGGCTCCATCTCCTCAACTCAGGAAGCCTGCCAGGCTGTGCCTGGGCCCATCCTCCCTGTGCTGCTGCCTACAAACACTCTAGGCAGTGGGCTAGGCTCACTGTAGGGCTTGCCTTCCTTGCTTCCTCTCCCTAGTGACCACTGTGTGGCATTGCTGATGCTCAGTGTCTGAAAACCATTGCTCCCTGTAGTCCATCTGGAATTTTAGTTGTTCCAGGCACGAAGGTAAATCTGGTCTTTGTTACTCCATCTTTGCTGAAAGAGAGAGTTTCACAACTGATCTTAATTTTGAGGGCTGGAACAAGCGTGGAATGAAATGAATACAGTCCAACAAAGCAGGAAATCTTCAATTTATCCTGTAGCATAAACTAAGATAAAAGGAAAGGTATCACTTGTATTTTGGTGAAGAACAACCTATTTTTAAAACGTCCTTCAGTTTTCTGGATATTGTTTCTAGAGAGGAAAAAAAGAAAACCCAACCAACTTTATGATAACATTACAGAGCCCAGAATAAATTATGTCTAATTCTTACTGACAGCTTTGTAGGAGCCACTAGCAAAAGGAAACTGAAACAAATGTTATTCAGTAAGTCGAATTAGCATTCCTGAAATAGGACTGCTGGATTATGTAATGCTATCAACAATGAGGTTGGACCTGAAGCCTTCAGTCACGTGATTCATAAATCACAAACCTGAAGGTCCCTTGCAGGTATATTTCAGAATCAAATGGTCGCATGTTACATCAGTGGGGAAATAACAAAAGCCTTCTCAAACCAACCTCATTATTCCCCTTGGCTCCCCTTGATTCCTCATACAGGTCCTTAGCCCCAGGGACGGCATTGGGGAATGTGTCCACCCAGGGTCAGAGGACTCAGTGCCCCCTGGTCCCTCCGGATTCTTAACAGGGAGTTATTTCCAGTATTTCCCAAATATCAGGAGGCGTGTGGGCCTGCTTCCATATTAAATAGGTCAGACGTCAGCAAGAGTCTGTAGACACTAGGACCCTCAGGGTTTGTTTTTGCTATACAGACACTGGGGAGGAGATGGTTCGACTAGTTTTATTTATTCCCATTCAGAATGTTTAGATGAACCAGCCCTACGAATGACCAGAGAGCATAGCCTTATCTGGCACCAACCTTCGTAATCCCAGTTTTGTCATGAGGGTTGGTGGCAGGGGGAGGAGGGGAGAAGGTGTCATTTTCTGATATTTTGAGTTTTAGTCCAATTACATCTTCTGGGACACACCATACTCCATGTCTAAACAGTGTTTGTGGTAGAGACAGTATTAAATGGCTGCAATGCAATCCCTGTGTTTAGGAGTAAACATCAATGGAGTCAAAATAGCAAATTGTATATATCCACAGAATGTTAAAAGCAGAACAATAGCCAGATTTAGCCTTGGGAACAAAAGCATAAAGAGAAATGTAATTTATTGATCTGATGAGTTAAATAGACTGGCAGCCTACGGCCATGACTAGTGAACAGGGAGGTCAGTTAAACGCTGCCCCTCATCCGACAGGCTCTCCTCCTGGTTGTCCCGTTTTGTTCATGGTGTCGCTGTCCTCCAGTTTGCCCAGGCTAGAAACCCCAGCTTCTTCTTTGGCCTTTTCCTCACTCCAGAGAGCACGCTCGTCCTTAGACCCTCGCAGGTTGTCTCAGCCGGCAGCCTCCTTCTCCCTCCCAGAAGCCTCCAGGGAAGGGCACAGCGGAGGGGCTCAGGGCGGATCGGAGAGGCGGCAGAGGGGCAAGGACCGCGACACCTGCGCCCTGCGAGCCTCGCTCCTCCACAGCAGGGACCCGCTGCCCGCCTGCACCTGCGTGTGTGCCCGCACTGTGCAGACCCCTGGCCCCGCTCACTCATGCTGTGCCTTGCCTTCCACATCACAGCCAGGCAACTTCAGGGCTTGTCTTTTCCTATCACTTAAGCATTTTGACCGCTTCCCAAGCGACATTTTCTTAATGACTAGTGGCAGATAGAGTCATCATGCTATGGGAGACTCAGTTCTAAAGATCCCGTGGAGGAGATTCTATTTCAAGAAAGTGAGGATTTAATTAAATAAATACCCATTTAATTTCCCGTGCTTGGTAGCTTTCAAGAGACAATCAGTCATTTACTGTGAAGCGTGTGTTTCAGGCACTCATGGGGCGCTTCTTAACCTCCAAATGCCACCAGCTCAGCAGGGTTTGGCCTCAGAAAGTCATTTTTCTGATAACGGGTGACTCCACGGCAGGGGCCTGCATCCTTTTGCTATATTAAAGGGATTTGGTGTGCCCTGTTTTCCCTCGCAGTTATCAGAGCTTATGTGGGAGAATGGAGAACGGTAATAACAAGGCTTCTGTGTTTCTCCATACAGCTGATACCTATGTGGTTGCCAATGATTCAGTCAAATATCAAGGTAAGTCATTCCCCGGTGGACTGGAAGCTCAGTTCCTTCCAGACAATGTGATAACTTTCGTAGGCTCCTTGGTGCTCCTCTTGCTGTGGAGATAGGTGAATTCACCCTGCTCCTGGTCTCAGGCGGCTGATAATGCAGGGGCCCAGGGAAGGGGCCTGTGGGCCAACGTGACAGCAGGAGCCACGGTCCTACTGCTCACTACTGATGAGGATGTAGCTGGAGGGGGAAGATCCCAGAGTCTGAGTGGGGCTCAGTTACTGACTGGAATACAGGCAGAAAAGCTACCCTACCTTCAGAGGAGACCCATGGGATCTGGTCCCAGGCATGTCCAGAGCTATTTCCTGACCACTAAAATTGAGGTTTTTGTGATGGGAAGAATTCCATTAAGAAAGGATGGCATTGAGTGAATGACAGAATTGAGCTAGAAGGGACCTGGCCCTACTCATTTCACATATGGGGACTCATAGGACCAGAAGGAGGCCTTAGACAAGGCCGCAGAGCCAGGAGGAGGAAGACTCTGACCAAATCTGTTTCCTGCTGCCTGGCCCCACCTTGACTGAAGTGTTGTCATTGTAGGGCCAAACATACTCAAGACTAGTAAATGTAGTTATTGGGACTTGACATCGAGATGGCAAAGCTAGCCACCTGTGCTGTCCAAAACTGGGCCCCGCCTACGGCCCTGGGAGTAGCGGGGGAGGGGGGGGAGAAGACGGGAGCCTTCTTGCTGGTTTCTTCTTAGAATTGGGAGGGATGCTAGTGGAAGAAAGGAGTGTGACCTCAAGGTGCCCAGACACCAAGAGAGAAATGCTGCTGTCGACAGTGACCACAGGCTTTGTGGCGTCGATGCTGTTTGTGGCCACTGGTGAAGGCACTGAAAACCTCATCTTGGTACGAGTTTTTATTGTGAAAAGTGCTTGTACTTCCACCTTGAGGCATTCCAAATTGCCCCTCCCCCTGCTTTGTGGAAATCTGTGGTGGTTTGACATTACACTAAGTTCTTAGAGGAGACCAACAGAACTTGATGAAAAACTAGGAAAAGTAAGAAAAGCTTACAACCTGACTTCTTCATGTGCATTAGCATGAGAACAGAGAGGTTGTGATCATGATTAAAATGTAATGAGCACTTCCTATGTGCCAAGTTCTGTTCTAAACACTCCATTACCTGATTTATCCTTACAAAAGCCCCAGGAGGTGAATGTTACTGTCCCCACGAGAAAAATCCAAACAGACTGGGAAAGCTTGTTCCCAGAGTTGTCCACAGAGGAGCCAGGATTTGAACCCAGGGAGCCTGGCACCAGGGCCCAGGCAGTTACCCATTGTACCACACGTTGAATAACTCCTGGGGGACAAATATATGTGTCAGCTCATCAACTGATGTGTCAGCTTTAAGTTCCTGTTGCAGTGAGTGCGTCAAAATGGGAATGGCATTATTTGGATGGATTTGGGCCAGGGTGACTCTAGACACATGGTCCCAGCCTACATCCCTGTCCCTGAGCACTGCCCAATTTGAGAGTTGACCTTCAGGGCAGACAGCCCTTGTGCCACGTGTAAAGTCCACCAGCAGAAGGAGCCCAGGCTGGCACTCCCTGGGTTGACTGCGACCGGTAGGAGGAAAGACACTAAACAAAATGTCTTGCCTTTCTTAACAGCACTTATCTGCGGGACTCCAGCTTCGCCTCCAGGCCATTCAGAACAACGTGAACCACCACAGCCTCAGGACGCTGCCGGGCTCGGCCCAGAGCAGCGCTGGCCTGGTGGCCCTCCGCAAGTGGCTGCAGTGCACCCAGTTCAAAATGGCCCAGGTGGAGATCCAGTCCTCAGAAGCAGCCTCTCAATTTTATCCTCTATGAGTGGACTCCTCGGCTCTCAGTGTCAACACTCTGGTTTAGCAATAATGGGTTTAAAAACAAAACAATTTGATCCAAGCAGGTTGGGGAACATATTGGTACTGTACATTCTCTTTCTAGTTTAGTAAAAGACGTGCAAAGGCCGGAGAGGGCCAAAAATGAAGCTTTCTTGCTACACATATTTCTGACAACTCCTTGGGCTATCTGATTAAGTGTTTCCTTACATTATTTTTTAAAAACCAAATCATTTTTCTTTAACTAACTTCTATTTTTTTTAAGAAAAAAAAAATAGACTGGCGGGTACTCACAGAAAAGTTGTATAAGGCCCCCTGTTGCTATTTTTGATGATAGAGAATAAATAGGGTTTTTGAAACCTTTGTAGTGTTTTTTCTTAAAATCCACTCTTGGCAATGCAATAAAAAAACCCGTCACCATAAGCCAGTGACACTTGACTGAAGCTTTTTGTCATTATCCTGGGAAAAGTGGCAGCTTGCAAGGACCATTACAAAGTGCACTTAGAAATTAGGTGGTTAAACTGTGCCAATTGTTTTCTTTGTTTTATAATATCATTTTCCAGAACTGTCCAGTAAGTTTTATTATTTTTAAAACTAGTTTTTCGACTCATTAGTTCTAGGCTGTACTTTCTTGTAAGCTTTATGATAACCACTTTAGTTTTGTGAATAATAAATTTTATTCTTTTGTTAATACTTGTATACAATTCAATTTAAAACTGTAGATTGCATACTGGACCAGGCGACTCCCCACGCTGGCACAGAGCACTGTACCGGAGTTATGTTTCATAAAACGGAATTTTAATAGTGTAAGAGCACCAAGATTTATCAGCGGTTCTCCTTAGCATTGGACTCTGCATTCACAGATGATATTTCTTTTCTCTCTCCCTGTAATGCACTGACGAAAAGAAGACTTAACATGCATTGAAGCTGTATATCGACATGCTATTAAATGCATTTTTTATTATCTTTGTGAGCCTGGGGTTTTTTAAAATCAGTTTATAGAGCTAGACGTTAGTTCCTGACAACCATTTCTTCTAAATGTTTAAAACTTCTAACTTCTCTTAAAACTAAAGTACAATAATTGATTGGAAAAGACTTTCTTTCAGATCTTCTGGTGAGAGGAATACACGATTTATTTGAAATCATTCTCTGGGCAGGACGTTGAGGGCATGAGGCAATTCTTTCCCTTTTTTTTAGGTTGATGATTATTAAGAGGCTTCTCTTTTCTCCTGGGAAGTCTGGTATCTTAATGCTTCTCAGGGGAAAACAAGTCTTCGAGTGCTTCAGTGTTTCACGTGAGTTCTAGAAAGACAGGGTGGCAGATCTTCATTCTTAGAAAATTGGCAGGAAATCCATAGGGCCCTGCACTAAGAGTGTAGAAATGATCCTTCCTCGTATTTCCCTAACAAACTCTTCTGAAAGGCCTTCCCCCCGTCAGAGTGCTCCTCCATCCCAGTCATGCTTGGGTATGCGTATGCGAACATTTTGTCCTGTGTTAGGGGAAGTGCGCATGCATTTACCTCACCTGTAAACTGTGGCAGCTTTGAGGGTATGTCGTGTCTCCATATCGCCAGGGTTTGGCATGCAGTGCGCATTTAATTAGTGTCTGTGGAACTGGATGGATTTGATTAAGCGACAGGTCTTTCCTCACCTGCCCAGTGGGCTCAGCAAGGGCTGAATTGTGACATTCTCTTTTTGAACAGGGGTTCCTAGAGGGGGTTACAGACACAGACTGCTTTCCCTGCGAGGGGATTAACTGACTTCCCATCCAGGCTCAGCTGTGGGCCTGGCTCCTTGCTGGTCCTGAGCACCCCCTGCCGCAGGCAGCCAGGATCTCGGCGGCCCCATCCTATTGGCAGACAAGGTCCAGAGTTATCCATCGTTTCTTCTCCAACCCCATCTTCTTTGCCCAGTTCTTTGAATGGACTCCTGCCTCAATTTCCCTTTGTGTCTGCATCCCCCAAGGGCTGGAGATGAACCCTCTTGACTGGCCCCATCTTATGCTTCCAGCTGTGGGGACCTGTGTTCTTCACCCCGGTCACAACCTGGGGTCTTGGTCCCACCGGGGGAAGTCTCCCTCCTTGCCCCTGAGAACTGTGACGCGTTTTCTTGCCAACTTGACCCAACAGGACCCTGCCACTTCACTGGCTGACACAGACCAGCAAGCTTCTCTGGCTCCCGCTTCCGCTCCCCACTCCATTTCCCAGGATCCTCGTCTTCTGTTACCTCGTCATGTCAGCCTCTCCAGCAAGTGGGGCTCAGAGAGTTAGCAGAAAAAAGTCAGGAAAAGATGGGACAGACGGAAGTTTAGCAGGATTGGCCCTAACAAGTAGGAGGAGAAGCTGTTTACCTGGGTCAGGGGGTGGTCGACGACAGCCACTGCCTGTTTCTGTAAAAGTGTGATCAGACTACAACCAGCCCCACCACGTACATATTGTCTGTGGCTGCGTTCATGCTGCAAAAGCCAAGTTGAAGAGTTGGGAGGGAGATTGTGTGGCCCTGAAAGCATAAAATATTTACCGTCTGGCCCTTTGCTGACTCTGGCCCAGCTGAGGGCCGCTGAGGAGCACTGCGTGGAACCCTTGCGTGGATAAATTTTTCCTACCACCTCAGGGTTTTTGAAATTTCATTATTAGTGTTTCCTCATCTGTAAAATGGAGACAGGGACACGTTCTACCTCAGAGGGTTGTTGAGATGATAACACAAGGAAAGGGCTTAGAGCGATGCCTGACACATGGTAAGTACTCAATAGAATTTCTCGGTTATGATTTTTATTCTCATGTGGAAGCCTGGACAAGTGGAGCTCCCTGCCCAAGGCCACACGGCTAGCGAGAGGTTGGAGGCAGAGCTGGAACTTGCCCTCAGGCTGTCTGACCCCAAGGACTGCTCTCTCAACCGCTGCCCACACTGATCCTTGCCACACCACGCACCAGCCCCAGGTGACAACTCTGACAGCAGCAGAGGGCGGAGAGAGTCCCACAAATTTGACCTGCTCCAGATGTGGCCAGCACTAATGATTGGCTTAGAGAAGGGCCCAGGAATAGACTCTGGTTTCCTTCCCTCACGAATCCTACTGGTTTCAGAGTGTGAACAGAACATTCTGAGATTCCCAAGGATGGAATGAGCCAAAATCTGCAAATGCATAGATTCCATGCTTGTTTACAGTGGGCATGCCTCTTACTAGTTGAATGACCTTAGACAAGTTATGAAGCTCTCTGGACCTTTGTTTTTCCTCATCTGTAAAAGGGAGCTATCTACCCATCTCCCTGGGGGTGATGGAAAGCTCAAATGGGTGGAGGACGGTGATGGTTCTTGGGATACTGTACCAGAATCTGGACCTCCAGGAAGACTGGTGCCGCCCTATGAAGACCACATGAGGGGACAGTTCACAGCTGCAGGCTCATCGGATCTTTCCTTCAGCCGGTCCCTCAGAAGCAAGACCTACAAGACCCATGGGAGCTGAAACGTAGTCATTAGCTAAAGGTGTCCAGTCTCCATTTTATATGCTCTCTTGGCAAGCGTGTCATTCTGCCTGACATCAGGATGTTTTCAGCAAATCTCTTCCCTAAGAGTCTCATCTGAGGCCAGGTGGTTGCAGCAACTCCATCTTCATATCCAAGCTACAACAGGCCAGATAATGTTGGCTCCGATCAGAGCAGGTGGGTTATCCACCAAGACTCTCTCGTGAGCTGGGATTGAAGGGCCTCTGGCATTAATCGGACAATACAGATCATTTAATATACCTCTTTAATGGAATTAATTTGCAAATATGTTTATTGGGCAAATTGGGTGTTTTGACAGTAATCGTCTTAAGAGGAATGAAGGGAGTGGTTGGAACTCAGTGGAATAGTACCAACCATGTTGAAAGTTGAGCCCTTTGGGAGATGGCTGAAGTGTTATTAGTAAGAGGCTGGCCAGTTCCTTCCACTGACAGGAGCAGCAACGGTGAGCCTCTCGTGAAGACGATTCAAGAGAAGCCGCAAGAGCCACCATGTACTGAGCATGTACTAGGTTCTAAGCACTTTGCATATATTCTCTTTTCTCCTCTTAGCCCCTTTTCCCCCATGAGATCAGTGTTATTATTATCCTCATCTTGCAGGTGAGGCAACTGAGGCCCAGAGGTTAAGTGACTTATCTAAGGTCACACAGCTGGCAGAGTTAGCGTTAGGACCGGAACGCCGTCCGACTCAAAGACACAGCTTCACTCAGTACATATTAATTTCTCTCCCCTGTTTTTGGTTCTGAGCTCTTTCGGTTAAACTGTGGCAGGAGCATGGGATAGAGAAATCTGAGGGCTTTTTCTGAGGCAGCTGAATCTTGTTGGCATCTCTGTCTGTTGATCATCTCTCATAAATTTCCACCAAGCCGGCGTCACTTCATCTGACAAAGGCATTTTCTCCTTGCTTTGGGGATTCATTTATTAAAAAAAAATCATAGCTCACAAATTAAATCATGTTTAGTTTCCCACTTAATATAATAGTTTTATGGCAAAGAATAAAATGTTATGAATTAAAGATTGTGATGATGAACTCTGTTAGATTGGGGAGCTATTGAGAGTTCCCTCAGCCCTATAGAGACTTGCCCCTAATTAACTATAATCGTCGCTACCCTATATGAGGGTTCACTGCATGTCAGGCACTTTGGAGACAGTAATCGCACTTACTCTTCACGACAATGATGTGAGGTAGGCAATTCTGTTATTAACTCCACATTACAGATGAGGAAACTGAGGCACAGAGAGACGAAACATTTGTAGAAGTCACTCAGTAAGAGATAGAGCAAAATTTGAATCCAGATATGCCTGCATCCACAGCCCTTGTTCTTTCTAATAGACAATTCTGGTAGTTAAATGATGGGTGAGAGTCCTTTGCTGCTCCCCTGACCAATAAGGTCACGTAGAATTGTGTGGACCAGAAGTCACCAACTGGCAGCCTGCTGGCGGAACTTGGCTCACAGCATATTTTGTTTGGCGAGCTTGAACTTTTCATTTCTCCTTTTGGTTCGAATGCCTTCGATGGAGCACGCAGCCTCCAGTGTTGTACAGTTCCCACTAACGACTTATGCCTCCCTAGCAAGAAGCCCCCCACTGCCTCCTTGCAGACATCCTGTTGCCCCTGGGTTGGTTTACAAGGCCCTGGGAGCTTCACTTGTTCACCTGCCCAGCCCTGCAGGCCTGGGAGTTTGCCACCCAGTTTAGACTGACCCTCTATTTTATGGGGTCAAGAAGGGATGGCATTTACCAGCATCATTGAGCAAGCCAGTGGCAAAGCACGACTTGGGGCTGTGCTCTCAGTCCATAGTGGCCCTTCTCTCCCTGGCATCACTCCTTGTCTCCACTCGCATGGCCACCGACTGGGGCTCTGTCCCTCCAAACCCACGTCCATCATTTTGACCTCATTTCAGGTTGGTGCTGGTCTCTTCAGCCCACCAGCGTCCTGGTTTCTTCCAGCTCAGAGGAGCTGAGGTCGGGATGGGGTGGCACAAGGTGAGCCCCTGGCACCAGTTATTCCCCGCAGGATGCACAGGATATTGGTGGGGGCCAACAATTTGGTTGAACAAAGAGCTGGCTTTTTAATTATGCAGCCCAGACAGGCCCCCGCCGGGGGTTGCCTGGCAGACGCCCTGATTTCCGCTCCTTCAAGTAGCCACTTGGAAAAGAAAGGAACCAGCGAGTAATCAAGCGTGAAGGACAGAAGCACTCCAGGTGAGGGCAATCACGCTGCCCAGCTGGGGGTGCAGGGGTGGGGTGCGGGGGCTCCGCAGAGTGGAGTCAGGCCAGTTCCAGACAGCAGGGTGTGCCCAGAGCCTTCATCTCCGAGTGCTCAACGCGGGGCTAAGGGCTGAGGGAGGCAGATGGCGGGGAGCACAGGACACAGGCTCTGCAGCCGGGTCCATACCAACCTGCTCGCTGATACAGGCAAGTCGATGAATCTTGCTGAGCCTCAATTTCATCACCTACCACATGGAG